GTCATGATGTACTTTGTCAGTGTGAGTGAATAGAATCGGCGAACATGCCTCAAATTAAAACTTCAAGAAAGAAGCGAGCAAGACTTTTGAGTTTAGATAAAGAACCATACTTCGGTAGTAAATGAGGGGGTCCAGCCACCTTAAACCACGATGTTCCAAATGCAGCGAGAAGAGAGAGTCGAAGTTGCGCGCGGACTTGGACGAAAGTCAGTCCTCTTACAGCTGGCACGAGCTGAATTATAATGCCCAAAATAGTGTTATTCGGGAAAATAATATACTCCTTTAGCTTGGATGTAATGTTTTGCCCATTTCAGACCGCGTGTCATTCCCTCGAGTATTATTTCTTTGTTTGGACGTAAATGAAACAAACAATATTATTCTGAAAGAAATGACACGTGGTCTGAAATGGGCAAAACAATTGCCCAAGTTAAAATGGTCTATTAGTAATCTAACCCTTCAATTGTGTTTGGATACTAGGGCGAGGATTCACTTCTCAACTGGGCCAACCAAACCATCTTCACGGAACGAATATGGAGAGATCTAGTACGGCTGGCATGGCAGATGTCACCTGACATTGCAGTCTATCTACCAGCCAGGTAACAATAAATGTTGGCATTTTGATTGGATACTGATTTACTTCATATACCAACGATCGTCCAATCAAGTAAAGCATATTTTAATTCATAAGGGAAAAAACAGTGCCATCCGGCAGTTCCAAGTAATCACTATCCTTCCATTTTCGGATTGGAAAGACTGCTGACGAAAGACAATCGTCTCATAAATCAAACAGTAAGAATAAATGAGGTGATCTTGGTTAGAGGTTTAGATGATTTTGAAATGATGACGTATGTTTTAAAACAGGTTCAAAGAAATACCATCCTTACATAAGGAAGTATCTCGTCTGGTGAGACTATACCCAACTGCCGTGTCTGATTTACCTGAGGCGTTACAGGTTAGAATAGAGATATGCGTATATATAAATTATCTTTCAAAAGGAATATAAAACGCGCGCGCATGTTTCTTTACTATGATATAATCAGTCTGGTAGCTGTAGAACACGAGAGAAGCAGGCTTGGGAACACATCTCCTTCTCCCCTCGTGCTCTACAGCTCCCAGAGTGTTTATATCACAGTACAGAGACACAAGCAGCCGGTTTATATTGCTTGTCAATTTTGCTCGAGTGTCTCTGTCCTTTGACATAAACACGGTAGCCAACCCATCAGCGCGCGCGTTATATCTCAAATATTTAATAAATATATGCATTTATATATCTTTTATTTTTTGAAACTCCAAGTTAAAATCTTTAATTATTTGTACCCCATAGTTTCTCGTTACCACGACAACCGTCAAGACAGACATCCCAGAGCTAACGTACGTCCTGTGTTGGGCCCCAGTCCCTCCTGTACAAGCAATGGCTTTTTTTTCACAGCAGTATCCTCCACATCCATTGACAGCCCAGTACGCTATCCGGGTTCTGCAGTCCTTCCCGCCAAATTCTATACTTTTCTACATTCCTCAACTGGTTCAAGCAACTCGATACGATGCTCTGGGGTTTGTTTCCGAGTACATTCTGTGGGCCTCACAACACTCGCAGTTATTAGCTCACCAGGTAAATTTGAGTATACCACAATAGCAGTCGGATTCACCTTTCATTGTTCAAGATACTCGCATTGATAGGGACTTCCTTAAGGTCCGGTTACACTAGGCATTTTTTCTTGCAACTTTCAATGCAATGCTGCACGAAGGCAGAGCAGTGCAAGCTGCAAATCAGATGTCAGACGCGCGCAACGCTATGTTAGGAGGAAATAGGAAAAGCTACGCTCTGATTGGTGATTTGCGACATTGGTTGCATTGCAGATTGCGGGATGTATGTTACACGCTGCGACTTGCCTTGCAACGTTGCGAAAAATGGAAGCTCACTCGACTTTTTTCGCAACTTTCAATGGGGATGCTACACGCGCAATCCCTCTTGCAACACAACAGCGTTCCATTGCATATCACAAGAAAAACTGCCTCGTGTAACTCAGTGCCTTGAATCTCTATTGCTCAATCTTGCTTTCCCAGATTATTTGGAACATGAAAACAAACATATTCACGGACGAGGAAGCTACCCACAAAGACTCTCAGATTGGTGATCACCTGGAATCGCTGATCAACAGGATCATTGAATCTATATCAGGACCTGCCAGAGAATTCTATGAGAGAGAATTCGACTTCTTTGATAAAGTCACTAACATATCAGCTATCATTAAGTAAGTATTGCCTATCTATTCCACATGCAATAACATTATACGTACCCCCAACAAGAGTATGGTTGTCAGAGCAAACGGCATTCCCGCAGTCTCGGTATACATACAGTTTCTCATTCTAAAAGCTAGTTTTAGTCGGTCACAGTCAAGTGTTGAAACATACGTTTAAAACAAGACATTCTCATATGATTTATGGACTATATTTATTTGTAGACTAATATTGGATTTCTCCCAATGAAACATAAAATGGATGACTCCAGAGGAGATCGCCCTTTGCTTTATCGCCAAGACAAAAATCGTTTACAATTCGTCTTTTTCTCACATCTTTTTTTCTTTCAGACCATACCCAAAAGGTCCTGAACGCAAACAAGCTTGCTTGAACGCCTTAAGTCAAATCACAGCTGAAAAAGGTGTTTATTTACCGAGCAATCCCGAAGCAATGGTATTAGAAGTGGATCAGAAGTCCGGTAGGCCTATGCAGAGTGCAGCTAAAGCTCCATTCTTGGCGAAGTTTCGTGTCAAGAAATGTGGCATTACAGAACTGGAAAATATTAACGTGAAAAAGGGTAAGTTCCATTTCTTTTTATGGACCTACTTAATGACAGAATATGTGTATGAGAATATATATGAAATATATATTTGTACTGCGGTTGTAATGTATCAAATTGAGCAGATCCTCGCAGTACTCGAAGCAACTTCTGCAGCTGCAAATTGAAAGACTCAGAAAAAATTCTGAGTCTTGAACGGGATTTGAACCCGTGCCCTGATGATAGAATGATGGAAGCCCCGAAAGATTCCAACATTACCACTTGATTGACACTTGATTCACCGGTTTAAATATTGGCAGTCAACAAAGGCTGACATCTCCCTTATAGAGGGTTTGCATTATCGAACGGGTGGCAATGTTAGATGGCAGAACCGTAGAACCCTTTACTCTCGGGAATTCAATTCTTCGTCATGTAAAGCGATTGCATTGTTTCTATCATCCAACATGGCTGCCGTCACGTAATCGTGCAAAACCGCGTGCAAAACAGAAAAAGTCGTTCACTTCCGATGCTCAAATGTTTTTACAGAATTTCCAGAAGAATCAGAAGAAAACAAGCGCAACAACCAGGACAGCAGTATTTACTGGCAAGCGGCCATCTTCAAAGTGGGTGATGACGTCAGACAGGATATGCTGGCCCTGCAAGTGATTTCTTTGTTCAAAAATATATTTGAGGAAATTGGATTGAACGTTTACCTAAAGCCATATAGGGTCGTGGCTACTTCTCCTGGGGTGAGTTGTCTTTGTCATACTAAAAATAAGATAAGTCATCTTGAGAGGAATACTGATATTCTTTTTTCTCCATTTGTTAAATACCGAGGTAATACTTAAACCTCGCTTGAAAGAAAAGTCCAATATCATGTATTAGTCAAATCTAACTAGCGGTCTATCTATGCTAAATTCTGATTGGATGAGCTACTACAAGGCTATAAGTTACAGCATAGTTAATGGAGCGGAATGGTTGGGAAACCTATTGTTCTAGGTTTTTGTTCGACTTTATCCATTATCATATGACGTTGACCCTGCACAGAGAAGGAAACGTTGCTCCATTTGTTCAAAGTACTAGGGAATATAGAAGTTTTTTTCCTAAAAAAATCGTTCCAAGATAGTTATTATTTGTTAATTAATCCTATATTATTAATATCTATTTTTTATTGAAAAGGAAATTGCTCTTTTTCATGCTTTCTTATTTATCATCTAGTAACTTAGCTGTATCTGCGCGGAAATATTTATCCACATGGTTTATGGTCATCGAATGAAAGTTTTCACTTTCAAAATGTTCCATACACGAAAACAATAAGGAAATATACTTGCTTTGATTCATTGTGCACGGTCAGTATCACGTGATGGTACGGTTCAACCTCAAACGCAAAATAATAGCTTTGTTCTATGGAATTTCCAAACCATTCCGCTCCATTAACTATGGTTACAGCCTAGTAGTAGCTAAAGGTGCCGGCTTTGAAAACCAAACCATTAACTTTAATTCAAAACTTATTTGCACCTACATATTTGACCGACTATAGTGGAGTTTGACTAAACAATAAGTCCCCTCACCCTCATGGCACCTCATGACCTGTGAGTCAATAGCCCATTCGGGTTTGGGGCTAATTGCTAAATAGTATCTGTGGGATATGCGATTTGAGCAAAAGCAAATGACCCGTACCATGGCTAGAATGTGAGAGGAAGTGGGAAAACACAAATGACGGAAAGAAAGATGATCAAGAAGAATGTCTTTTTTTTCCATAGTGTGGTGTCATTGAGTGCGTACCAGACTCTGAGTCACGTGACCAGCTGGGTCGTCAGACGGACATCGATTTGTACCAGTACTACTTGAAGACCTATGGTGATGAAAGTACGACTCACTTCCAACAGGTACGAAATCACTTGCACCTACTACCATTATAAGCAATCAGTTATCTTCAAGAAATCGGTGCTACTTCAGGCCAAACAAGAGGCATTTGTTTAAGCCTCCAGTTTTAACCATAAAAGGAGTCGCCATTAATGGCTATTGTGTTGAAAAAATGGTATATTTTATTGTTGAAAGATCCAGTATGGCATGAACCACGGAAGAGATGTGGTTACTTATAGTCCTGCTTCCCTTAGTTACAGTTGCTATGCCCCACAAGCTCACCAAATTAGCTAGACTATCAGAATTTGATCGCCGAAAAATTTATTCGACGTTGTTTCTATTGTTTTTGCCCTGCGAAAATAAAGGAAAAGTGCCTCATAGTCCTCGTAGCACTCGTAGCACTCATTAAAACAGATACTGTATAGTTGTTTTTTTGGAGGAGACTTAAAGTCCACTAAGAAAACTACTGCAACGGTGATTGGTTCGCTATGGTCTGAGGGGGAATCATGAATTATTGGTGTAACAAGCCAGAGCTATCCACCCTTCCTTCAACCTAGCCTCCTCTGCAAGCGTCTCTTTGCTCTTTTCTCTCTTCCTTCTCTTCCTTCTCTTTTCCTATACTGGGCTTCCTGTGTTGGCTGAGAGTTGACCGAGCGGGACTAGTCCCTCTCGAACAGCAGCAACAAAACTCTAGCGAGTAGCCTGCGGAGGAGGCTACGTTCACCTGCACCTTGGAAACGTTGCTGCAAACTGTTTTCTTGAGAATTGACAGAGTTGTTAATGTTTGTACTAGTTTCTTTATTTTTTTTTTATTTATTTATTTTATTTATTTATTTATTTTTTTTTTTTTTACTTAGGCACGTTCAAACTTTATCAAGAGTATGGCAGCCTATTCCATCGTCAGCTTTTTACTCCAAATAAAGGACAGACACAATGGTAACTTGATGTTGAATCGAGCTGGACACATCATTCACATAGGTACGCGTCTAGTTTGTCCTAATGTAAATAGTTTATTTATGAGCTAGAAGAACCTCAGTACCTGAGCATATTTTCACGACGTCAGCGTCTGGCAACGCCAATCAGATAAAAGAGAACGGGATTGGGTACTTCATTGTTGCACTTGCCCATTTCGAAAGTTTAAAACCAGCATTCTACAAATACTTCTTTACAGATATTCTTACTTTGAATAGCCATTTCTTTCACCTAGGGATGCTTGCATTATATAATTACAATCCAAAATATGATCCCCGTGAATCATTAACAGTAAACAACAGAGTGATAGAAAAAAACCTTCGCGCTATGATCTAAGAATTCATAGAATATAAGGCTTTGCACCATCACATGATGGCAGCCATGATAGGAGGCAGGAGCAATTGAATCTGGTTTCATCTCATTTATATGAAAAAGAATTATGTTTCCCAGTGGGAAAAGACTATTGTTTTGCTTCCTGTCATGGCAGCTATCATTTATTGTTATGCCTCTATAGACCTCTCGCATGTGACGTCAAAGCAGCTCAATTTGAAGGACATCATTTTCAATCTGCTGAGAATTGGAAACCCTATTGTTATGTCATCCAAATTAAGCTGCATTACGACGTGCTGCTAGGGGTCGTTTCACTCGGGAAAAGACTATTGTTTTGCCTCCTGTCATGTCTGCTATCATTTATTGTTATGCCTCTATAGACCTCTCGCATGTGACGGCAAAGCAGCTCAATTTGAAGGACATCATTTTTAATCTGCTGAGAATCGGAAACCTATTGTTATGTCATCCAAATTAAGCTGCATTCCGACGTGCTGCTAGGGGTCTATACGTTTCACTCGGGGCAACGCTAATACTTTTTTATGGTATTAGATTTTGGATTCATGTTCGAATCTTCCCCTGGTGGAAACCTTGGTTTTGAACCTGACATGAAGATTTCTCATGAGATGGTGATGATTATGGGAGGCACAATGGAGTCTCCTCCTTTCAGGTAATGAAGTATACATGTTTGAAATATGCAGCTACTGTATGATCAGGTCTTCGGTTATCTAACTAGATTAGCTCTGCAACATGCTTCACACTTGCCTTGGAATCCAAATCGGAAACAACATACACTATGCATCAAGAGTTCCGCATTTCTGCTCAAAGCGCATGCTCAAGGGGTCAAAAAGTGGAACCGTGGGCTGTAAAAATTGCTGCATTTTGGTATATTTGATTTGGAATTAGCTTTACGCTACGTGCTCTTGGATATTTAATGAAACTTGTGCTTGATAAGACAAACACAAATTACTTATGAGCGTTTGTTTCTCGTCAATAGGTGGTTCATGGATTTATGTGTGAAGTCGTACCTTGCTGTCAGGTAAAAATATATTACGATAATCTTGAACCAATATTCCCCTTCACAATTCCCTGCGCCATCTTGAAAGCAAAGCAAGGACGACGGTGACCTTGCATTGTTAAAGATCTTTTTCATACCTTGGACAATGATTCACTTATTCACTATCATTGCTGTACAGGCACGGTTACCTTATATGGCTCAGAAAACTATGATAGAGACTATTTACGATATTGTTTCAGTGGAAGATTTCGTGGGCTGGTTTGGCCGGGTCTTGAACCTATGACTCCGCGCACAACAAGGTTCTAATTTAACACTTTTTTTTGTCGAACTACCTAGTGAAGTTATTCATTACCTCATTTTTATGCGGACACTGAATTTTTTATTGAAAAACAAAAATATGTTCATTATCTTTGAACAGGCCATACCAAGAAGCAATCGTATCGCTAGTAGCACTCATGCTCGACACAGGCCTGCCCTGTTTTAGAGGAGAGACACTTAAAAGATTAAGGTAATATCTGAAAACCAAGACAACAAGACAAATTCCAGTCTTCTATAAGTTTCGGTTTTCACTAATCAAATTTTCGGCAGTCTGTTGATAATTTTTTTGAGTAACGCATGCCAAACGTACAAAGGTGTGGAATTACCGTGGTTTGGTTGTGATGGAAATGATAGAGTGCATTCACTAAACCCGTGAATAATATTTAGTTCTAAAGTAGTAATTCATACAGAATCCTTTGTTTCCTATTGTTTGATTATCACTATTTAGTACTAAAAATTAGTATTTGTTTAATGTTTCACGGGTTTAGTGCGAGCACTCTAGTAAAGATTGTCGGATATCGATATTTTGACTTATAGACAAGATAAAAATAATTACTAGTAATATATAATCTGGGTTTTCATGAGGGCTCGGAGATCGTAGAATGTTACGGTTACTGAGTATAATTCTCCGGGTTAAACCATCGTGATCTTCTCCTATTATTTCAAAACTATTGAAAACCGGCCTGTATATCAAGTAATGATTGTATTGTGAATATTTGTGTCTGTCAGGGCTCGATTCAGTCCAGCTCAGAGTGAAAGAGAAGCTGCCAACTACATGTTAAAAGTGATCAGGGATTCTTTCTTGAACTACAGGTAATATATTATGTGTCTTGTGACTATTTGTGTTTGCTCTTTTTATCATATTTGCTACAATAAGTACCTATTGATCATTAATCATCATTATCATTATCATCATCATCATCAATCACTACTGACTACCACCAAATGTAGTATTAGAACATTAAGTATCATCATCATTACCATCACTGATCATTGATCATCATCACTGATTAACATTCTCAGCGCCACTAAAAACAATCCCACTTGTTTGCTTTTCGCAGGACCCGAGTGTACGACTTGATTCAGCTCGCACAAAACCAGATTCCTTGCTAGATTGCTTAATAAATAAATAAATGACTTCAAATTTTTATTGACGCTGTAATGGTTAAGATTTTAGCGGACTTTGAATCTCTGAAAACGCGATAATATACAAACAACTAGAACTAGTGGCGGACTATCACAAAACATCACATTCATTTTTAAAGGTGTGTTTGTCTGTTAGTGATATATTTCTAGTAAAGTAGAAATAAAAAGATAGCTGCTTAGAGCCCACTTTGTGAAGATTTAGAGAAAGAACTTTGAATTTTATTTATATATTCTAATCGTGACTTTCCAACAAGTTTGTCTGTACTAGAACAGTTATACTATCAGTTCATTCGGGCTGCAAATCTAAGGGTTTATAATAGGCAGATTAAGATTCACGTTTTTCCTTACCGCAAACGGCAAACTTGACCACGTTTTCATCGTTTCCCTACATTTCACTTTACCTTTTGCAAACCTTCTCGACAAAGACAAGTATTCTTTTGTTTATCTACTACTTGGAGATCATTGCGATTCCTTTTCACTAATTGTAAAGAATTTTTTAATGGTCATCTGACGTTTCACGTTTGCCGTAAACGAGAAGCTTAACCTCTAATGTTACAGTTTCTTTGGAATGGAAGCTTTTTCTAACTCGAGGCGAGCACCAAGAAAGAACATTATTCATCTTCCTTGTTTATAATTACAGCTATTTGTTAGGGCGTATGCCGTTATTGTAAATACATTATAGGGTAATTTAATTCAAAAGTAAGAAAAAATAAAGAAATTAGGAAAGCAGTAGTACACTTAGTAAAATCTCCTGGTGTGTTTTTTATTACATTAATTTAAAGATAAATACTGAAAGTATAAAAAGAATATAGAAAGGAAGGAATGAAAGAACGAAAGAAAGAAAAAATGAATGAAAATATAAGAACAATAGACCTTTCCCGATTTAGCTTGATTGATCACGAAACAATAGTTTCAAGGCTAAACTTGATAAATAAAAGAAGTTCAGTCTCGACGTGAAACCATTGTTTCTTGGTCTTCTAAGCGAATACTTGAGCTCCAGTTTCGAGTTCTTTGTTGCTCAGGGTTAGCCTCGACTTTGTTTGAAGTGTAGAATATTGACGTGTTTCAGTGAGGGTCCGTGGAATTTAAAAAGTGTTCGTAATTGTTGAAGTTGTGCGTTCTTTACTTTATCGTTGCTATTTATGGATATTTAAACACTGGTTCGAGGCTAGCCCTGAGTAAATGAGTCTTTATCAAAAAACACAGCAGTAATTTGGAACTCGAAAATGGTCTATTAATGGTCTAATGGACTAAACAAGAGTAAACATACAAACGCTTGTCTTTCCACGGCCGGGACCTTCACTGGCACACGACATGAATACTCTACAAACTGGGGTATAAGTGCTCATTGCCAAGATATAAATTCGATTAGGAAATCGCACGATCTCGAGTACCATTAGGGAATTTATAGGCACGAGTGATGTTTTGAAAGTTTTCAAATTGGACAAGCCATTAAATGAGTTCATTTTGAGAACTTTCAAAACATCACGAGTATCTATAAATTCAGAATTGTACGAGAAGATTGTGCGATTTTGTGTTTATAATACACTCAAAAAAACTGAGCAACTTAATTGGGACTCTACAGAGTACAATTTGGGATTTAATTGTACTCCTCTGGTCCAGTCAGAATCGAGTAATTTTGTTGAGTGTATTGTAAAAAGGAAAAGCTTTGCTCTTCGAAAGTCTGTATCGGTGCAGTCGGTCTCGTGCCTCCCTTCCCATGAGAATAAAAGAAAAAAAGACGTGGCCGCCATGTTGGTTGACATGACAAAAGACATCAAGATCAAATAATTTGCCAAAGTCAACCAAAATGGTGGTTATCAAGTCCGGCATGCAACCCAAGAATAGTGGAGTTCTAATATAATTAGAACTCATTCAAGGTACTCGAGAATACTTCCTCATATATAGATATGTCACTGAAACGAGAAGGGGGTCGTGGCAGACCGGCTACGGAATAAAAAACGCTCCCATGATCACACGGCTGTTTGAATTACGACATTAGGTTCCAGGCGCGCGCGCGGCCAAATCGCGTTGCTAAGCTGCTTCTCTTCCTTGACAACGAAAATGGCGGCAATTTTGAAACTTTGTTTTCCTCATTCAGCAAAATTAAAACCGGTTTAAAAAACCTTTTCTTTCAAGTTAAGATTCCAAA